TTAATATAACAGCAAATGTACAACGTTTCGACAAGGTTTTGTCATCATCAGGTACACATTGACAAAACCTTGTCGAAACGTTGTACATTTGCTGTTATATTAAAGTTTTTCTTCATTACCCATTCAAGCCGTCTCCAGCCATTATTAGTCTCAAAGTGGGTTCCTCGTCATCGAATTTGAAGCCACCTAGTGTTGATAAAAACTAAACACATTTCTATTATCGACCAAACAACAACAACTGTTTAAGCGTGAAAACAAAATTATCAAATCAATTCTAAGACAGCAATACTTTGATGACCATGTTTTAAAAGAAAAAAAAAACACTTTTAAATAACATTCATACGTATGTCTCTGTGTATAATATGATTGGACGTTCTTGATACAGTCACAGCTTGTAAATAATCCGGAAATCGCTCTAATATGCAATTTTCAAATTCTTGAAAGGGAAGTTAAAAAAATCAAAATATTAAAAAGTTTGTCTCTACTCCTATTACAAGGCTGTAAAAAAAAACAAAAAACTTTCAACTAATTCAGCTTTAAAACATAATAACAGTATTTAAAAGGACTACTTTGAGCGACATCTTGCGAGTAAAACGTTATCTGTAGATAACGAACACCCATTTCGTTTCTTGAAACTGGAAATTAGCTAACGCGCTAGGTGAGTTCGTTCTTCTAACGAAATCAGGTCTACGATTTTACCAGATTTAAGTATGTGAACAGATGTTACTTTTTTTTTCCTCCGTTACAACTGTCTCATGTTGTAAACCACACACACAGACATACAAGTGTTGCGCCACATGTATTCGGCTGATCACGCAACAAATACGCATGGATCATACAGCTGGTACAATTCATTATGCCTGCTTTCGCTTGGCAACGCGAAAATTCGAGAGCTTGGTTGGTTGTTTGTAATTAAGCCCAAAGCTACACAATTGGCTGTGCTCACCACGGGTATCGAAACCCGGTTTCTAGAATTGTAAGTCCGCAGACATACCGCTGTGCCACTGGGAGGCTTCGAGAGCTTAATGAGACAATTATCAAAAGTATTATATTAGAATATTGTAGTAATCTTTAGGTTTCTACCATTTATTCAGGAAATAACGTTCTGTGGGTGGTTAATAAAATAGA